GGTCCGGGAGGCTTCTCGGAGTACGTGCTCTGGAAGAGGGGCTGGAGTGCCAAAGGCTTCGGACTCACTCTTAGAGGTCCCAATGATTTTAAATTAGACGAGTTCTTCGCGGGCTCTCCCGAGACCTTTGAACCCCATTATGGAGACGGAGGTCTCAATGGAAATGGAGATATCTATGATCCGCAGAATCTGATCGCATTCCGTGACTTTGTTTTACGCAACTCTGATAATGGCGTCCATTTTGTGATGGCTGACGGGGGCTTCTCTGTGGAGGGCGACGAGAATAATCAGGAGGTGCTCTCTAAACGCCTATATTTGTGTCAATTTCTGTGCTCTTTAGCTCTGTTGCGAACCAACGGAAGCTTTGTTTGCAAACTGTTTGATATATTCACGCCATTCTCTGTGGGATTAATATATTTAATGTATAGAGTCTTCAAAAAGGTTTCCATCCATAAGCCCAACAGTAGTCGTCCCGCAAATTCTGAGCGATATATTATCTGTAAGTGGAAGAAGTCTGGAACCAGTCCTATCGAGACCTACTTATTCAAACTAAACTGCCATTTGGATTATCTGTCTAAAAACAACTCTCCCGATGACATCGTAGAAGTGGTTCCCATGAGTGTCTTGAAAGGGGACAAACAGTTTTGTGAATACATCACAGAATCTAATAATACGTTAGGAAAGCGTCAAATCATATTCCTCTCCAAAGTGAAGGCATTTGCAGAGAACCCACAGCTCGACCTCAATCAGCCCGAGCTTAGGAAGGAATGCCTCAACTATTGGAAGGTTGAGGTCAAGACCAGAGTAGCCCCCTCTCGACCCGATCCCTTCTATCGATTCCAAGAACTCACTTCCAAACCAAATGAATTGAAAGATTATTTTGCATATAAGCCAAAGCTCTTAGAAGCAGATAATCTCAAAGAACTGGAATATATTCTTGGTTTCAAATGCATGATATTGGGCGCAGACAACGACTACAACACCGGTGGCGCCAACTCTTTCTCGAGTGTCCGGGGATTCTTCATGGGTTTGGGCCGAACCCACATATACTACTGGGACGGGTCGTCGACATCGAAATGGACCAAATTGGAGGCCAAGTTCGAGCTCTCGCCGTCGACTCTGGTTTACGGAGAATATGTTCAGGAATTGAAAGGCGAGGGAAAGGCTCAGCGAAGAATAGCCGCCTTCCATATAATCGACCCCTTATTCATTGGCGGCACTGACGTGAGGGACAAGTGCTTCGAAGAGCGCATATCAATGGCGGCCAAACTGGCCAAAGCGGTCAACAAGAGTAGTCAACACGAGTACGCGGCCGTCCGCATGAAACGGGTGTACGATCTGAAGCATATCGACCACATCTTCGAGCACATGGATATGAAAGAGTGTAAAAGTGGTGCTCAAAAGGTGCGCCTCTGCTATGAGATGAATAGCGACGACCGGTTTATAATACCGTTCGGACTATTGGTCATGAATACAGTGAAACAGCCGTGGATTGTCAAGTATAGTCGCAATTCAAACAAATTGTATTACTTTAACCTCAAGAACGGCTCCTCTGTGTTCGACTTCCCGGCTCAGAGTTTAGCCGACTTTAAGTACACCTTCTCTAACAGATTGCTGTGGAGGTGGGACTCAGACAAGTGCCTAATGCCCGACCCCATCGACTCCACGGCCAACAAACTCACGAGACATCTCATCCAGGAGTTCGTCAACAAAAGGAAACCATAGATTCGGTCATATATTTAGTAATTTATTAAAGATTTTTGGTTTAATTTAATATTGAAATAAATCGATACACTCTTTGAGTGGTCGCCAGAGAAGGAGAAAGAGTTTGTCTCTGTTGTCGAACCAATCAATTGGATCGACGAATGCCAACAACCGTTGCCCACAACTAAAGAAGTGGAAGAATATTACAAAATTGGACCCAAAGTGAAGAGCATTGATAACGCGACTGACTTTTGCGATGAAGACATCCTGAGGAATGTAATTACCTGTAAAACAGTGTTCGATAGTCTTAGCGGCGAAGAGTTACGAAGAGCTCGGTCGACGTCCAACCCCTTCGAGACCATCGAAAAGGGAATGTTTCAGAACAGGGCGGCCATGAAGATGGCTAATATGGACGCCGTGTTTGGCTTCATGTTCACCGAACCGACCGATGAGTTGAACAAATCATTAGTCAAACCAAACGACTTGTTGTACTTCGCGGACATCTGCAGTGGTATGTATTAAAGGCATTAAAGTTTATTATACTAAACGATTATACATAACAGTGGAAAGTCTACGGGTTTTACAAAATCAGTATAAATTGAACTAACAATATATATATAACTAGTTTTTGATACCAAGTCTTTTATTTGGATTTCGTGTCATTTCGAAAAACTGCTTCTTCTGCAAAGACTGGTAGCCTTTATAGAGTACAGTCGATCCAAATTGACGCCTTTCCTCTGCTGTCATCTCTAGACCTTTGATTGTATGGCCATTGATAACGTTGCAGAGATTATGCAATCCGTTTGCGTTAATCATAAGCGTCTCTTCGATGAAGGCCTCCCTCTCCGTGAGATCAATGCCACACTTGACAGTAATCGCGGATTTGTTTTTCTCTGCCATTTCACGGATGAGAGCACTAATGGGTTTGTCGTCATCATAGACAAGATAGGGTCTGAAATGATCAGCGATTCTGTCATTTATTCCTTTGCCTGGATATCTCACGCATTTGAGGAATTCCTCAAAGGATATGGCAGTCATGTCATCCGTATTGTCTGAATCACTGTTTGTAAAACATTTTGTTAACAATGTTTCAAATTAATTATTCATTCAATACATACCACTCAAGTATTACATAAGAGTAATGATCCCGATCACAATCGCAGACATCTTTGCATCGGTTGCACTTTGGTTTCAGACTCTGCCACTCGTTGATGTGTTTATTCAACTGAACCACTAATTGGTTCAGTTCTGTGCTGTGTTTGGGAAGCGGTGACGCAATTGTCTTATTCACGCCATTGTCTATAATAGTGAGTTGAGGGCCACAAATATTCTCATACTTATGGACTCTTTCCATGTGTTGAATAAGTTTGCAATTGGATTGCAATCGCTTATCACAGTATTTGAATTGACATTTGAATAGATTTTGTTTGAAATGCATGGCAAGAATATGATGTTTGAGGTGATCTTTTTCAGAGAAATTCTGTTTGCAATAATCGCATACAAATGGCAACAGTTTTAGATGTTGGACACGAATAACACTTTTTCATTGGATGATTGGTCTGTAAGTGAAGTATCAATGTCTCAGAAGTAGTGAAGGCATCGTCACAGATGGGACAGTCCATGGGCTCCATGTGTGCCAATGATGGGATCCAATAGCAGCAATGGATGGTGTGTTGGATGTGTTCAAGTGATGACGATTCCAACGAATACATACAACAGTCCACATAAAGCGTCAACTCTTTCACCTCATGAGTGAACTTCTTATCCAATTCGACCACTTCTTTGAGCTTTCGTTTGAACTCAGAGTCCACGCAAACCATGTAATTGTGAAGGAAGTGCTTGAAGTCATTCACCATTTCTTGCAACGAGTCGTACATAGCGTTCGTCGCCTTCTCGCGAATGGTCGCCAAATGCATGGCTTTGAATACAAAGACCTGAGCTCTTGGAGTCGAGTCCACCTCATAATCGGTGGTCATCTGTGAGTCGAAACTGAGCTCAAGATTGTTCAGCAAAAGACAAATGCATTTATTGAGCAATGCTTTGGGGATTTGATTCACTTTCAAAGTGGTGTCCCTTTGGACCAAACGCTCGCAATAACCGCATTCATAGCCATTGGGGTTGACCTTCACTTTGAGACACTGCAGATGAAAGGCTCGGAAACAAGTGGTGCACCCAATCAGCACCGGATCCTCACTCGCCAAATGGCACTCAAAGCACAGCCAATCAGTGCGTTGCCGACCAAACAGTTGCCGATCAAAGTTTGCCACATATCTGATCCAATCATTGTCTCAAGTAATGCATTGTCTGCACAACAATACAATCAATGGTTACCTGATCTGCGAGTCATCCGTCTCTTCGGCGATAATGAGTTTGTCGTCGATTGCCGTTTGGATCAACTGATTGATGCGATTGTCGTTGAGTTTGACGTTAAACTCAGACACCATTTGGTTCGACACCTTTTGGTGCAACTCTTGTTGACTCTTATGGAAGTCCTTCAGTGTCTTCAATACGCGCCACAACTTCACCACCATTTCGGTGCACGTCTTCCGCGTGTATCTGCTCTCAGGTCCACACCTATGACTCTGCGAGTGGCCAACCATTTCACACTCCATTTCGATGACCGTTTGGGTCTCCAGTTGTGTCTCCATTGTGTCCATCGGTGTGTCCATTGTCTTCATTGGCGCGGATGTGGTCATCGGACTCGCAGTCATCCCTTCCGTCCCATTCAAGCCATTGGTCGCTGCGATTGAGTCGAGTCTGAGCTGCAGTTCCCTCTTCTCTCTCTTCAACTGGTCTACCATTTGCTTGAGATCTGAGTTCTCCTTCAGCAGGTACTTAATAGTGGTGTCTTTGTGTGCCATAATGGCTCCTATTTTGGTGATAATTAATGGCAAAACAATTTGCAGTCAATTGTCATACGTTCGAGACGTTTACTCTAATACAAAGTTGTAATGCAGTGGACACTCATTATAAATCACGTTTCAATCTCTCATTACAGGTCCGGGAGGCTTCTCGGAGTACGTGCTCTGGAAGAGGGGCTGGAGTGCCAAAGGCTTCGGACTCACTCTTAGAGGTCCCAATGATTTTAAATTAGACGAGTTCTTCGCGGGCTCTCCCGAGACCT